CCTTCTCCCCAGGCCCTGTCCTCTTCCTTCTCCACCCCTTATCATGTGTTCTCTCTCTGAGCTGTCTCATCTAGTCTCCAGCTCTCTGGAGACCAGCTGCTCCCCAGCAGACCCAGGGGTCTGCTGTTCCCCTGGAGGCTGTGGAGGAATGGCTGTGTCCATGCCAGTGTCCCCTGGGTATCTGCTCACATCTGCACACCTTGTCTTCACTCCAGCAGCCCCCTTCTCTAGGACTCCTTATCTGGTGACTTGCAGCCTCACCCAAACACCTGTAAGTGCCACCTAGGAGGCCTTCTTGGACTGGTCACAGCAGCTTTCTGCGTCATCCACCTGGCTAAAAAGACCATTGATGGATTTGGCAGGTGCTGGGTGTGGTTTCCGCAGAGCATCACTCCATTCACTTGCTGACTCTTCTCTGACGCCCTTCATGTTAGCATGGAACCCAAACCTTTCCCGTAGTATGCAAGGCCCTTCCTGATCCAGCCCCTGGCTGTCTTCCAGCCTCCCCTTTGTCGTCCCCACTCTCTGGTCATCCGGACCTGCTGCAGATGCCCGGGGGACGCAGTCCTGAGACTTTCTCCCACCAGCTCCCTCTCCCTGGAGTCCACACCCATCTTCTCACCTGCCTAGCTCATTCTGCCTCACTTTTCAGGACTTCTACTACCCTCTCTTCTTGCAGGCTTTCTGGATCCTCTCATCTAGGTCAGTGGCTCCTCCTGGGGGTCCCCATGACATCCCACAGTGCCCCTCCTCACAGCACTGACTGCATCACTGAGGGTGGGACGTGCTGACTATCCATCCTATGTCCCAGCACAGTGCCTGGCTCTCAGCGTGTGTGGTCAATAGCATATTGCATAAATTAAAGATGGGAAGAAACTCTCTCTCCAAAGTTTTCCTGGGGCAGTGATGGGAAGCTCAGGGTTTTAATGTAACCCATAGTGCTTATGAAACTTGCAGAAAGGACAAATCCCTGGGGACCTGCCTGGGTTCTAACAAGTCCTCCTAACTAGCTGATTTCCTAGATTTCCCTTTACTTCCTGTCACCAGCTGCCCCACTTTGCTGTAAAGCGTGAACTGCCTGGCCACACTCCAGGAACTAGTGATTGACAGAAACTTGGGCATTGTTGCCAAGTTTAAGAAAAATAAGGTAGAGAATGGCACATCAGCTGCCCAGGTGCTGAGAGTCAGAGCTAATGACGTCCCTTAGTATTTTTGTCTGTGCCTTCAATAGATCCATTATACAAACACAGCGTCAGGGAGCAGAGCTGAGACCTGGCATCTGTGGCAGGTGGAAGCGGGTGACAGGGCAGGTGGTTATCGGGCACATCGGTGTGTCATATCATTCCTGGGGAAGTAACTGTGAGATGGTTAGTGAGAAAGGAGATGGGAGTCCCCTGCCTCCTGGCCCCTGCCCGGGTTTCTTGGCCCTTTGGCTGCCAGAAGATTAATGAAATCCTTTCAATACTGTCAGAAATGACAGCCTGGAAAAGAAAAAAGCATGTTTTCAGCATTATATGGAAGATGAGAACAACATCAAGAAGCAAAACCTTTTCCTATAAAAGACTTTAAACATTTCCTTTCTATAAAATGTTGTGAGTTAATACCTTTGTTTCAGGGGTATACATTTTCTCCTTGAATCTTTATAGTTATTTCCAGAATTTCACAGTCTGTTTCAAAAACCAGATTTCTGCCCAAAGCACTGACTCTACACAGCTGAAAGTGGAAGGATGGGGAGAGGAGCATGGGCTCATTCTGAGGGATGAGAAGGTTATTGCCTCCCAATGCCAGTGCGTGAATTGAATTAAGTAAAGCATTAAAAAAAAAAAAGGTTGAGAGCTGTAATGCCTTTAAAAAAAAAGCTAATTTTTTTTGAAAGTGAAAACAAAATGAATTTAATTACTGAGCTGCTCGTGGTAATCGAAAAACAATTTATCTGTTATAAATTATATTTGTATATTTTTCCAGTGCAGAAAGTGTAGGAATTTTGAAACTCAAATGATTAGAATTGTAGGTTACATTTAGAAAGTAAATCCAAATAAAAATAATTCCTTTCTTTGGATAATAATATTTGACTTTCCTCCTGGGGTCCCCTGGCGTCCTGCAGTGCCCTTCCTCATGGACTGACTACATCATTTAGGGTGGGGACACGGTGATTATCTACCCTCTGTTCCTGTCACAGTGATTTCAACATTTGGGATGAATAAACATTTTTATTGTTATTACACTATTAAAGGAATCCACATATATGGGCTGGGCACAGTGGCTCACACCTATAATCTAGGCATTTTGGGAGGCCAAGTCAGGTGGATTGCTTGAGCTCAAGAGTTTAAGATCAGCCTGAGCGGCTCAGTGCCTGTGGCTCAAGTGGCTAAGGCACCAGCCACGTATACCTGAGCTGGCAGGTTCAAATCTAGCCTGGGCCCGCCAAACAACAATGATGGCTGCAACCAAAAAATAGTCAGGCATTGTGGCCGTTGCCTGTGGTCCCAGCTACTCGGGAAGCTGAAACAGGAGACTTGCTTGAGCCCAGGAGTTGAAGGTTTCTGTGAGCTGTGATGCCACAGTGCTCTACCCAGGGGGACAGCTTGAGGCTCCTGTCTCCAAAAAAAAAAAAAAAAAAGAAAGAAAAAAGACCAGTCTGAGCAAAAGTGAGACCCCATCTCTACAAAAAAATAGAAGAAAACTAGCTGGGTATTGTGGTGGATGCCTGTAGTCTCAGCCACTCGGGAGGCTGAGGCAAGAGGATTGTTCAAGTCCAAGAGTTTGTGGTTGCCATGAGCTAAGACACCACGGCACTCCACCAAGAGTAATGGAAAGAGACTCTGTCTCAAAAAACAAACAAACAAACAAAACCCCCCAAGGAATCCACATATATAGAATAAAAGGTTAAGTTGTATTTTCATCACAAAAGAGCTTTTTTTTAATTTATGAAAAAGACATGCTGTTCCATTATAAGCATTAATAAATTGCTTTTTTAAACAAGAATTATGTTTAGAAAAATGTACTTATCTGTACCTACTTAGCAGCACAGCTATCCGAATAGTGAATGATTTTTAAATTGATGTTTAGACACATTAGGGTGAGTGTTATGTTTACAGCTTGACAACATTCTTATTGAAGATCATTTCAGACTCAGTGGCACAAGAGTCTGTGGCTAAAAGACTGTCCTCAATTGGAACTCTTTTTGCAACTCTTCCCTACTGATAGGAGGAAAATTCTGGGCTGGGACTTCTGGAGAACAGAGAGACAGCGCATCAGGTTCCGAGGTTCAAATCTTTCATATGCTGCTTCTCAGCTGTGAGACCCTGAACAAGCGACTCAGCTTTTCTATGCCCCAGTTTTTTCATCAGTAATTTGGGATATTAGTTTCTTTCTCATAGCTTTGTTACGGGATTAAATTAATTTATATTACATTTTAGAACAGTTTATGACTGGTACATAGTGAAACCTCAATAGATATGAAAATAATTGTAATTATAATTATACATTATAATTATGTAGTACTATAATTGCTAATTATGATTATCCATAATTAATTATAATTATAGGAACGATCATTATTGGAAAGCCCCCACATTTTTTAGAGAATTCACGTGAGGAGAGGGAGACTTACTTTCTCTGGGTTTCCTTAGCACACACAAGCTTTTCAGTAGAGCAAATAATTTACAGCGAAGTCAGAATTATTTAGGTAAAATAGCTTCTCTTCATGCTCTCGCATAAGATGTTCAAAACCAAAATGAAACAGACAAAGGGTAAAAAAAACCTGGCAAGGGGACAAGTTTCGAGAATTGTTTTAAAGAAGTCATTGTATTCAGGTGGCCTGGCTGGCTACTGTAAACACCGAGACGGTCAGTAGGAAATCAGAGCCCATTGTGGTCAGTAAAATGGCTGTCTTTTCAGCTGCACAGATTGCTATCGGCCTGACAGAGCCAACTCATGTTCCTTTTACCCAGTCATTTCCTTTATTCTGAGTGTCTGTAAGAACCACCCACAAGGGTGTTTCTCAGAATTATAGGTTTTTAGGTCAAACAGGAACCCTGGGAAATGCCTGAAATGGCCAAACACAACAGTTGACTTTATGCACAGGCTGCATGACGCGACCCTGCCGCTGTGTGCAGCCGAGGCTGCTGAGCCTGAACTTGAGCGAGCTTCCTTCCGGACAAGTGCACAGCAGCCGGGAGCACGGCCAGTCCAGGGAAGGGCCCCGCTCTGCCCTGCTCGGCAGGAGCCGCCGCAGCTGACGGTTTTCTCCCGCATTCATTTCAGAGCCTGACGGGTGGGCCTCCCACGCTTGCTCTCTTTGTGGTCCTTGGGCGGGCCCCACCATGGAAGAGACACAGGGGCCTCTGGCCATGACCGTCCATCTCCTCGCCAACTCTGGGCACGGCCCGCTCCTGCAGCGGACTGTGGATCAGCTCTTGGATTGCATTTGCCCAGAGGTCCGTCTCTTCCTGGTGTCTGAGAGGGTCAGTCCAGTGAAATCCTACCAAAAGGCCCACCCCAGGCGGTCGCGCTGCCCCGGGGTGTCCGTGCTGCTCTTCCTGCGTGACAGCTTCGGGGAGCAGCGGCTGCTCCGCGCTCTGGATTCCCTCCGGCACGCGCCGTGGCAGCGCTACCCCAGCCGGGATGCCCAGGCGAGGCTGTGTCCCTACCTGCTGGCCGATCAGGAGTTGTACAGCCTGGACAGCCAGACGCCGGTCTGGGGCGTGAGGCAGGCGCACCGCGGGGTGGAGGTCCTCAGGGTGACGCTCTACTGTGGTTTTGATAACTACGAGGACGCCGTCAGACTCTACGAGATGATTCTGCAGAGAGAAGCCACCCTGCAAAGGAGTAATTTTTGTTTCTTTGCGCTCTATGCCACTGAGAACTTTGTTGTGCAGCTGGCCCTGAAGCAGCTGCCCCTGGGAATGTCTGTGGACCCCAAAGAGTCTTCGGTGTTGCAGTTTAAAGTTCAGGAGATCGGCCAGCTAGTGCCCCTTCTACCCAATCCCTGCGTCCCCATCAGCAGCACCAGGTGGCAGACTCAGGACTACGATGGCAACAAGATTCTGCTTCAGGTATTTCTGTTCCTCCCTGTGATGTCGTAGATGTGTGTGGAGCTGTGTAATTTGACATCTTCAGACTGGACTGCGCATTAGAATCTCTCCAAGCTTCACAGATTCCCACCCCAGGCAACCAAGAGGTCAATGTCTGGGAACAACCAAAACTAGACATTTTTTTAAAACTTCTTAGATGATTCTCATATGTAGCAGGGTTGAGAGTCACTGATGTAATAAAATCTTCTCATTTGACAGGTGAGAAAGTTCAGGTTCAGTGACCTTGGAGCTGACACAGGACTTTGTAGGAGAATCTGACAGTGTTCTTTCTCAGCCTGGCCTTTTTCTGTGCTGTTCAACTATGTGCAAATCCCTTGCCCACTCTGGGCTCAGGAGGATCAAAATCTCTTTCAGACTGACCTAAGGAAGTTCAGGATGTAGTTGTATTTGGGGATGGCAAATTTGGAGTCCTGTGGAATTAATTTTTAAACATCTTGTATCACTGTCAAATTTTGTCACAAATCAAGTTAGTCAGAAATCTTTCAAAAGACAATCTTGAAATGAAAGCCTTATTTTCTATCCATGCTATTGGAACCAAACTGTGTGTGTGTGTGTGTTTGATGACAATAGCTACCAAGTGTTGTCTCTTACCATGTATGGTGTGGTGGTTGAGCTTTGCCACTTACTAGGGATGACCAGAGGCTTCAGTCTCTTCATTATTACAATGGAAGTTGTACAGTTTTGGTATCTTCCTGTAGTACAGATTGTTGTCACCTCGAAACATCCTAACAGTTAAAAAGTATAGTTAAATGAGCACCCATAACTCATTTTTAGTTATTATTGTTCATACTATGCTCTATAATAAGAATTTTAAATTGATAATTTTATTTAAAAATTGTAAAAACCTAGAAATCTACTATTGTCCCCATTTTTCAGATGGGAAAACCGAGGTATGAGGGGTTAGGCATAGCTAGGAAGCGTCTATCTATCAATTTTCTCAGTCCTGTAATTAATCACTGTAGCAGTCGAGGGCACTATGGGTGTGTGTGTGTACATACAAATATGCAGACAAGATGTGAATATGATATTTACAGAAAAATATTCTGGCTTCTGTCCTTGAGAAGTGATCAGAAAGCCCCTTATAGCCTATTGGATAAAGTAATAACAGGCTTCAAGGTCAGTTGTCTTTCTCTTTAGTTAATTTTGTTGTCATCATTTTCACTTCTTGGTTAATAAAGTATGAATCATGTTAAATTATTTCTAAGTTGTTTGCCTTCTTGGTCACATAGTGGATAGGTATGTTGCCTATGATATAACTCCCTAATTTCCAAGGCACTTAAAGTTTCTCTTCCAGTCATAGTGACCCTCCAGAGCTAAAAATTGACATCACTGTCAAACAAAAATTCCAATGTGTGTGTGCAGCAGGGGCGTGGGGTCAATTGTGCCCACTCCTTAAGCATCCTGACCTTTGTACTTTGGAACCACAGCTTATAGTCTTAGCTACTTTGGAAAGCTGATTCCTACTTGGGGAGTACAGAAGGTGAGTTTTTTTTGGATAAAGGGAAAACCTGTGAGTGGTTGGAAAATAGCCCTCTTCCTCTCTGGATAGTTTTATGAGTCTGCCCACCGCCCAAGTGGGAGCAGAGCATTAATTCCACATTCCTAGTGGCCCCTTGGAGATGCCACCCCTTCCTAATCTCTTGAGGGTCTCCAAGGCTCATGGGCTTCCATTTCTTCACTCTGAAACATGATTTGGTCACCGCTCCTTAGTCTCCTTTCTATCGGTAAGTTTACTTTTGCAAACAAAACAGGAGATTGTCTTCCAGAAAATATGGCTTCTGGCTTCATATCGCAAAAGTGCCTGAGGAAAGTGTATGAAGGCTTGACTACGAGATGTCATAAAAGACAACTTGTAGCGACCATGCGAGTTCTCAACTCTTAGAATGGAGTGACTGTTTCAGGATAGGAAATCCAGCCCAAACCTCCTAGTTAGTAAGTAGGCCAAGTCGTAAACTGCAGGCTCAGGACCCTACCGGCAGTTCTGCTGACTTTCTTTTGGCCCTGTCCTCAGACAGCCATCCCCATGGGGACCCTGGATGGCTGCCAGCAGCTCTGAGGACCACAGCCTTCACATGGGCTCTGAGAGCCTCACCCACCAATGGCCCTATAACATCTGTGACTTCACTTTGACCAGCTTGGATCAGATTCTCTTCTCTAAATCAATTATTACATTAAAGGGATAGGATTGTATGGATAAATACATAAAGTGGGGGTAAAGTCTCCACTCTCTATTCTAGATTCTGTGTGAAGTTGGGTTGTTGTTCTGTGGGACTCTTAGGGGATGTTGAAGGTCCCCAGTGAAGATTAGAGTGTCTTCTGTGACAAATACAAAGTGGTATAAAGTAACCGATGTCCACCAAAAGTAAGAAAATAAATGCCTACTCAAGGAAGAACCATAACCACAAATGAACCTCTCCACAGACAGCACTCCTACAGGGCCGGGATTGAGGCATGTGTGTGCAGGGGACCTGAGTGCATGGGGGTGCTAGACCCACTGGGCATGATGGGGAAAGCTTTCCTGAGGGGTGATGCCTGGGCCCACCTAGCTGGACAGCCCAGAAAGAGTTAGACAGTTGGAAAGGGAAGCAAGGGTGTTCCAAACAAAAGACACAGTGAGTTACAGGGTTGGGGGGTCACTTCCTTAGCAGGGCATGTCCAGCAAACTGCAGACTGCCTCAGATTCCATATGACTGGAGTACACAGAGTGACTGAGGGAAGAAAAAGAGCAGGTGGCTAGAGGCTGGACCATCAGGAACGTGGCAGCCACTGGAATGCAAGTGCCAAGATGGCAGGGACTTTTTTGGTTCACTCCTGTCTCTGGTACATGGTAGGCAAAAATATTCTTATCTGAATGAACGAGTGCCCGGCTAAGTAGCTTCTGTTCCATCCTTATGTAATGAGCAGCCACTGATGGGTCCAGTCAAAGGTGCTGATCTGTATAATTTATGTCATGAGGATCCAATAAGAGAATATACACGAGGTGCTCTGTACAGTGGAAACTGCAGGAGCCCGTGCAGAGACCATGCACCCCCCATCTGTGGGGTGAGGAGCTCACTGTCTCACCCACTGTGAGCAATGCTTCTTCCACATGACCTCTCCTCATTGCAGACTATCTGATGCTTCTCAGAGTCTAACTCGTATGTTTTGGATGAGTGTGACGTGAGGGTATCTCCCAGATGCTCAGTAAATGAGTGGAGTGTATGAATAAATGAGCAGGTAAGTTCATGTTTATTCATTTCCCCAATATCAGTTGAATGCCTGCTCTGGGCAGACCCTGTTCTAGATCCTGTTGTCCATGTGGCAGTTTCACCTGGCACTCTCAGTTCCCAGGGGGCACAGAATTATACTGGATTCAGATTCACTCTTCCCTTTTTCCACGTTAGCCGTCCTCTGCATTCTCCTCCTGCATTGCCGTCGGTGTGTGCAGAGGGGAGGTCACCTGGGTGATGAGGCCCCTTTCTTTTGTTCAAACCCCTGCCATGTAAACCCTGTCCTCAATCAACTCATCTGTCTTGTCACATCACTCTCATGCAGTGTCTCTAGCCAGCTACTGGCAATTCTCAGCTTTCCATGACTGGGCTCTGTCAGCCACAGTTTTGTGTTTTGTTTTTCAGTTTTCCACACTATGGTCCTTCAAGCTTGGTTTCCCTGCTGATGCGTCCATCTTTTGGGTGCCCCTGGCTTAGGCAAATCCAAGTATAGAATCCATGTCATTGGCGTCAGGCTTCTGGCAGACTCTGAGTTTGAACTGGTGATCTTACCTCTCTGTTTGATGTTCAATAGGGGGAACTTCGTAAATTAAACTTGGAAGCTACTTGAAACTTGACCTTTGGTTGGGTGTTGTATGCAGTATCACACTGACCTGATGGATAGTCTGATGGGGAGCTGGACATTCCCACAGGTGCCCACGGAACCAGATGGCCTGTGGGGAAAGTGATATATACCGCTGTATATATCATATTATTACATCAACTCTCTGCTACCCACCTTGAGTGTGGGGAAGGGGAAAGTTAAATTGACAAGGGCTTCTGGGAAGGTTGCGTGGGGGAGGGGTGACTTGGAGGGTGACCTAATCAGCTGAGCATAGGGCAGTGGTTCTCAACCTTCCTAATGCTGCGACGTATTTTCATTGTTACAAAGGGGTTGCGACCCACAGGTTGAGAACCATTGGCATGGGGCTAGAGATTCAAATGCTCTTAGAACAATTTTTGGTTCTTTGAAAATGGAGTGGGACAGAAAACGGGATTTAAAGAGAGTCATTTGTTGCGGTTTTTAGAGAAGGGGCAGACGTGCTCGTACCTATAATAAACAATTTAGGACATTGATGCTGATACTGTCAAGGACAGATTGCATGGGGGCTTGAATAACCACTTCAGACGTGACTTTCACCGTCCCGTCAAAGGCAGCAATGTTTTGAAATAGGGAAACCACAATGGAAATGCGGAGTTAAAGTTCCGAGGTAGACTTGACAGAATCTGCCAGTGAATTAGAGGGTGAAGTGGAGGGAGGTGGGAATGGTCAGGACACACTGGGCTCGAGGTGTCTGCAGATTATTTAGGCCCAGACAGACCAGCTGGTCCCTGAGGGCTGGAACTCAGGAGGCAGTGAGGGCTGGTGACATAAGTCAGGGTGACAAATGGTGAATAAAGGAGGTGAAGTGGGGGGAAGGATTAACATTACCAAGAAAGAGAGTGTAGAAAGAGAAGAGGTCAAAATGGAACCTGGAAAGCGTCCACACTTTAGGGGGAGGGACAGGGAAGCAAAGCCAGTGAGAGGACCTGAAAAGGACCAATCAGAAAGCTGGACAGGGAAGAAGATCATGGTTGCCCGGGGGATGCCGTCCCTCTGAGGTGGCTCCTCACATGGGCTAGAGCAGGTCCCGCAGGTTCCACAGAGGTCTCCTCACCAGGCCATGTTTGCTGGCACGTTGATATTGACCCTGGAGGGGTTGCCATCTGCCA